AATTAAAAAATTTAATGAAATAAAAAATGTAAAATAAAATAGAAATTAAAATATAAAATAAAATAAAATAAAAAATAAAATAAAATAAAATAAAATAAAATAAAAATCTTACACTGAGGGAGACAATCAAGCCATATATAGGGACCAAAATATCAAAGACTTAAGCAGTAAGCAACCAATTAACAATGCCCAATGTGGCAAACAACGCACATTTCTTCAGAAAATCTTTCTCACCTTTCTGAAGATGTTGTCCTCTCCAGTGTCAGGACTGAGAAATCCATCTGTATCACTTCCTGAGTCTCGAAATGTGACTGTTTCTGAGTTGCAAGTGTGAAACTCCGGATACTGTGAACTTTCTGCAACAAACACACACAGTTTTACACGAAGACAGACAAATTTACAGCATTTACAATAAAAAGAAGTGTGCTAAAAATAGCTTGTGTATCCAGTTAAAGTCTATCATAAAAGTCTCCAAAGAAGTTCTCTTACTGAAGCCCAATGTCCTCTTAAACAAAACATGCGATGTCCTCTTCAGAACAGATCTTTGTACAACAGCACATGTATTCACAACAGCAAAGTCTGACTATCTTGATAGGAGAAGTATCTGTAGCGTCTGTCAGTACCGTACCGTCGTGTGGGTAACAAATAAAAGTCATAAAAGTCATAAAAGTCTCCAAAGAAGTTCTCTTACTGAAGCCCAATGTCCTCTTAAACAAAACATGCGATGTCCTCTTCAGAACAGATCTTTGTACAACAGCACATGTATTCACAACAGCAAAGTCTGACTATCTTGATAGGAGAAGTATCTGTAGCGTCTGTCAGTACCGTACCGTCGTGTGGGTAACAAAACCAGATCACGTGGGAGACGAAACCATCATGATAAACCTCAACAGATTCCATCACCTAGAAAAATACCGCCTGTTTCCCCTCCCTCTCTCGCTTTCACTTTCTTCTAGTCTTTTAAAGTGCAACACACTCTCTGTATAAGCTTAGTGTAAGTGAAGAGAGTGACTGTGAAGGCTGGGATCAGCACTCGGAGCTCTGTCACGAGAGTGTGAGCTTTGTCAGCTGTCACACAACACACAGGTGGCACCATGTTTTGGGATGTGAAGGAGGGGGCTCGCTGAGACCGCTACAGCTGCCCTTTCTTTACGCTCTCAATGCTATAGTAAAAGCAAACGTCATTACCTAAGCTGCAGATAAACAACTGACAACATAAACACAGGTCATGAAAGGCCGCTGAGAAGAAATTCAGCATATTGAATCTACCCAGTTACATTTGGTTATTTTCAGTATGTTTTTGATATGATTCATCGTAATTTTTTAGATGTTAAAAAATGTCTCCAGTTCCAGTACTTGGAAACTGTAAACACTGTGGCTCTGCGGTGCTTTTAAATAAATAAATAAAAATCAAAAAGCATAAAAATAAAATGAACTAAAATACTTTTTGAAAGTGCATGGAAACAGAAGAGCAAAAAAATTAAAAAGAACAATATTTTTGGCATGTTAATAAAAAAACAATTTAAAAAAATAAATCAAAACATATTTAAAGAAAAATGTAAATTAAATGTTTAAAACATGCATACATTTTTTAGCTTGATTTTAAAAACATTGTACTGTTATGAAACTGCAACCATGCAACTAGAATGTGATTGTTATAATGCAATTTCTCCTGTTCCAGTACCTGGAAGTTGCAATGCAATGCACTGCAATACACCGCAATGCACCGTAATGCACCGCAATGCAATGAAATGAAATGAAATGAAATGAAATGAAATGAAATGCAATGCAATGCAATGCAATGCAATGCAATGAAATGAAATGAAATGAAATGAAATGAAATGAAATGAAATGAAATGAAATGAAATGAAATGAAATGCAATGGCAATACACCGCAATGCACCATAATGCACCGCAATGCAATGAAATGAAATGAAATGAAATTAAATTAAATTAAATTAAATGCAATGCAATGCAATGCAATGAAATGAAATGAAATGAAATGAAATGAAATGAAATGCAATGAAATTAATTTTTTTTGCTGTTTAATAAAAAGGTAAACAATAAATAATAAATAAAATGGAAAAAGCAATAAAAAATTAAATAGAATAGTTAATTAAATACAAAATATAATAGAACAATATGTTTAGCATGTTAATAATAATACAATTAAAAATAAATAAATAAATAATTTAAATAAAAACTAAAATAAAATGTAATTTTCTTTTTTAGCATGGTTTTAAAAACACCACACTGTGACAAACCTGAAACCATGCAACTATAATGCAACGTTGTTAAATGTTGTACAAATGTTTGATGCTTACAAGGAAGTGATTAATAAATCTCAACCCACTTCCTGCATTTACAAAGACACAGCAGTGATCAGTGATCAGTGATAAAGTTGTGCGTTCAAGACAATCCAGTCAGGGTAGTTTAACAAGAAAAAAAGCAAGCTATATGCCACTTATGTTCACAATAGGTGTAAAAACAACTTTTTGTATGGCTGAAATACACTTTTCATTAAACAGGAAATCTCTCTTTTTAGCACTGCATCATGTTTGTGGCTTGAATGCATTTTTTTTTTTTTTTATACCAGACACTGTTGGTGTATTAAAGGTGAACAGTCTTCAGAATAGTTACAAGTAAAGATAAACAATCCCTTCATGCTCCTCTATACGAGCACTTGCCATTACTATCTTCTGTTCCTCATACTTCCTTAAGAACCTCGCTATAAGAAAACAAGACTTTCCTTTCTCTTCTGAAATTAAATGGTTCAGTCTTTGTAGACGCACTCCAGTGTTTACAATGCAAAGTTCTCACCTTCCTGGGAAGCAAGCCAATCATAACCGAAGTCATTTACATACTGTATAGAAGTCTTAAAGGTACAAACATCAAAACAGCCCGTTTCATTCTAAGAGTCAGAGAGAGGGTGGGAATGTTTTTATACAAGAAACTGTGGCTAACATTACAGCTTAACTGTATACTGCCTACACAGACAGCATCCTAAGTGTCGAGGAACCTCATAAGCAAGCACACATGCCACACAAAACAGCACTCATCACATGAAGTGCATGAGCGACGTGACTCACAAATGAATCAGAGAGAAAATGACGTTAACATGTTGCCAAACTTACAACATGCGCACAAAAAAAGAATACAAATACATAAAAGCAGTTTGATATAATTAAAAATGAACTGTTTAAAACAATTGTTTGCTATCAAATCTTTGGTAACACTTTACAATAAGGTCCCATTAGTTAATGTTAGTTAATGCATTAACTAAAATCAACTAACAATGAGCAATTTATTTATTGCAGTGCTTATTCATCTTTGCTTACATATAAAAAAATACTGTTTATCATTAGTTCATGTCAGTTCAGATACATTAAATATTATCAGGCACAATTATTGATTTTAATAATGTATAATTAAATGTTAAAATGAGCATTAACTACAATTAATAAATGCTTTAGAAGTATGTCGTTAGTTTGTTAACTAGTTAACTTATGTTAATAAATTTTGAGTGTTACAAAAATGTTTTAGTACTGCATAAAACACACTACCATTTAAACAAAATTAATGTTTTTTTTGTTTTTTTTACTGTTTTTAGGTCTTTTGCTGAACAAGGCTGCATTTATTAGATTTAAAAAAACAGTAAAAACAGTAATATTATTACAATTTAAAATAACTGTTTTCTATATATTTGAATATATATTTTAAAATGAATTTTCAGCATCCATTACATCCATATCACATGATCCTTCAGAAATCATTCTAATATGCTGATTTGATGCTTAAGAAACATTTCTTATTATTATCAATGTTGAAAACAGTTGAGCTGCTTAATAATTTGGTGGAAACCTTGCTACACTACCACTGAAAAGTCTGGGGTAAGATTTAAAAATCAAAAAAAAAAAAAAACTAATAATAATGAGCCATTAATAATAATTGAGTACTCATAATAATTGAGCAGCAAATCAGCATATTAGAATGATTTCTGAAGGATCATGTGACACTGAAGACTGAAATAATGGCTGCTGAAATTGGTAAGCTAAAATTAAGCCCAACTAGATAAATATTAGTATTGAATTACATAACCGACAACATGATATCAGGTCATGGAAGTGTGATCTTACCTGTGGATAAGTTGTGTCTCTTCTGGGAAACACTGGAACACAGTGCGTCTTTGTCTCTGTGGATCTGGGGACAGAAAGAGGAAGATATGGTCTTACGCATGTGACTGTCTAACTGGAAAAAAGTTGTTTAACATATTCAAAGCAAATATGAACATCAGACTGCATTCAAATTTGATGAGTTTTTTTCATTTTCTTTCACTGCTGAAAAGGTCAATGAAACTGAGGGTTTCTAGTGAATGCATAGGCAACAGAAGCAGCAGCTTTGCTCACATAAGCTCAGAGACTGCAGCATATATGAGGTTAGAGTTCAGTCTGTGGTTTGTGGACCCCATAACAGCTGCATCTCAGTCATCACAGACCACACACCACCTCACACCGGCCCTGAGGGATGACAGCGGCTTCAGCAATCATGATCCAATGCTGAGATGCTCCCCACAAGCCAGACATCCAAACAAACTACTGCTGGCTGGATTCAATCCAATCCATAGAAGAAACAATGGCTGCAATTATAAAACCCAGCTTATAAAACTCAAATAAGATAAGCTGGAGTCTGTTGTAAAATAAAGCAATAAGCCAAGAGAGGCTGTGCGCTACAGTGAATTCACTCCCTTAATCCATAGTTAAGTTTAGTAAAAAAATATATATATTTTTTATGTTTATGTAAATAAATAAATACAGGGAGTTATATATTATAGCTTGTTGCAAATTTATTTTTTTATTTTTTTCTAAAGAGGAAATTGTGGTAAAAAAAAATAAATAAAATGTAACATTTAATGAAAAAAAATGAATATTATTTTTAGCAAATATAAAAAATACATAAAAAATGGTGGCCAGCAGAAAAAAATCCCTATTGTTGAGCATTTTAATAATAATAATTATGAAAAAATAATAAACAGTTCTTCCACCAAATATGGTTCTTTAAAAAAAAAAAAAAATTCTGCAAAGACACAGTAAATTGATTAGTATATTGAAGAGACAGTAAAGTCTGTATTGATGCTGGAAATTCAGCTTTGCATCACAGGAATTAATTACATTTTAAAACATATTTAAATAGAAAACTGTTTTTTTAAACCTTAATAATATTACTATTTTTTAGGGCTGTCAATCGATTAAAATTTTTAATCTAATTAAATCACACCCTTTTTCTGTGATTAATCGCACACTTCATGATATTAAGCATAGACCATTTATCTTGTTTCAAAAGTTTATTTTGTCAACGCATTAACGGCCTCAACGCGTGCACGACTCATGTACGCCACAGCAATCATCTTTACCTTGATTGCAGTCTTCATCCATCAAAACTCTTCTAGCGAGACTGGTTATCCAGTCGAGAAACCGTAGTTTGCGTCTCAAAGCACTGGTTTTGGACGGATTGTTTGAATGCATTCGCTTACTGGATCATTGGACTGAAAATTTTCCCAGAGTTTAGCGGCTTAAAATGATCTGATCGCAAGCAGAAAAGCAAAATTGGGTTAAAGGGTTAGAATAGAAATTGTGCTTCAGTAATTTTGCGTTAACTGCGTTAAATTATTTTAACGCGTTAAGGATTGTAAAATTAATCGCATGCGTTAACGATGACAGCCCTACTATTTTTACTGTATTTTTGATCAAATAAATGCAGCCTTGATGGGCATCTTACCAACCCCAAACCTTTGAACGCTAGTGTATACTGTATAAACATAACTGTCTTTTACCATATCGTTGATGTCAACATAAAAAAAAAACAGGGAGTGTATTTTGCCATTCTTAATTTTTGTTTTAAGCAAACCAGCAAACAAAGCAGTCCTAACACAGGTCACATATGGCTTGGTGCTAAAAAGAGTTAAATTCTTGTGTATCTAGTATACAGTACTTCCTTTTTCAAAGTCCAGTTTCAGTCTGTATTATACTAAAGAGGCCCAATAAATTTCATGCCTGCTTGCTTACTATACATCAGCTTTTGATCTGAGGAATTGAAAGGGTGAATGCATACAGTCTATTGGAAATGTTTACACAGATCTCATGTTACGGCCAGTACTGCTACTGAACAGCATCCTGTACAAAGCCCCCACAATAGAAAGCCTGTATTAAAGCGACCTGCACCACTGATGGTTATTCACCCGGCTGGAAAGCACACTGAAAAGCTCTTTTGCCTTTGTTATAACCCAGCTACAGGGTCACCCAGGTGATGCAAAATCGGACGGGGGAGAAAGACGGTAAACAAAGAATCCCTAGAGGGAGGGAATACAGGAGAAAAACGTGAAGAACGAGAGAAATGGCTTCTGATTTGACCCAAGAGCAGTTCACGTTTCCATCCTGGCCAGGGACTAATTATGTTCACACCCTCAAAAACCAAGTGGCCATACACAGTTTTAAAGCAATTAACAATGCACAACGCTCCATTGATGAGCACGTCCATGCCAGAGCTCTGACTATCCACTGTGTGCCTCTGGGAAGGCACAAGGCAGTGGAGAACACTGTCGTCTGTTGTCCCAAACACAAGCCCTGCCTACTACAGACAGGCCGGAGAGCACAAACACACACTCTTTGGGTTATCCGTACAGCAGTTCCCATCATAGTGAGTCGCTGATATCACACATCCACTGCCGCTGAAACTCCAACAAAGATTAAAGAGATTATAAATGAAAAGAGCTGTATTGTTTAAGCATAAGCGGTAGAACTCTAAACGAGACGTACAGCTGTCAGACTGTGAGCGAATAGGTTGAGGGTTTGTTTAATTATAAAGTGTACGAGATGTTTTCATTGGATGAATGAATCCCTTCTTTAGCTTTGTTCACACTAAAATTAGATCCTTTTGTCCAGGGGAGTCAAAGACGGCACGTATAGAGATCAAATGTGCGAGATGATTTGAGGAAAAATATTAATAGTAAATTATGCACAAAACAATTACATCCATTTGTGGTTGATAAGATTTTTTTAATGGTTTTGAAAGAAGTCTCTTATGCTTAGAAAGGGTCCATTTATTTAAGAAAAATACAGTAAAAACAGTAATATTGTGAAACATTGTGAATTTTTACAATTAAACATAACTGTTTTCTATTTCAGTATACTTTATAATGTAATTTATTTCTGTGATGCAAAGCTGAATTTTCAGTATCATTACTCCAGTCTTCAATGTCACATGATCTTTCAGAAATCATTCTAATATGACGATTTGCGCTTGCTTAATATTTTTCCAAAACCAGGATACATTTTTTTCCATTCTCTAATGAATGCAAAGTTCACAAGAACAGCATTTATTTTTAGAATTTTTTGTAACAGTGTAAAAGTCTTGCCACTTTTCATCAATTTAACACATCCTTGCTGAACAAAAGTAATAAATTTTTACTGACCTCAAACTATTGAGCTCTTAGAGTGTTCTGTTGCATTTTAAAGTAGAAAAAAAAACTTTATGCAGAATATATTAATAGTGATCCAATGTATCAAAATAACTGAAATATGGCATATTTAACCTATAACACTTCATTAGACATAATGCACAAATATAAAATGCAATGCAATCGCATTCAGTATGTACAGTAACAGAGACTTTGTTTCAAAAAGCAACAAAGGAAAGGGGACTAAAAACCAAACCAGCTTGAATATAAAATAAACATTTGCATCTCTAACTGCCACTGAGCTATACGTACGCAAAAGAGACTGACATTTAAATGTATAAAACAAGACTGATATAAGAGGCATTTACACTCTTAAGAATATCCATCCATCCATCCATTCATCCATCTATATGTCTGTCTAAAAAAGAATAACATCAAACACAAAACTGCATGCTTACATGTCAACCACTATATTTTGTGATGCTCTAAAGCTGCTTCAAACCGCTCTCCATAACACAGGCCCAAACCCTGAAGTCTGTTCAGAGCCAAACATGGCCCAGGGTCCCTTTCCAGAATCTGGCACCGCTGCCGTTCTCACTGCATATTTGCGGCGCTAGGGGAGAAACCAAAAGGGCAGTGCCAGCAGACTCTGTCGAGCGCAGAGCATTCAGAAGTGTACCCAATAAAAACACATCTGGTTTGAAAATGCACAGACTGTGTGCTGGCTCTCGATGCATGCAGCCGGAATACAAAAAAGCCATAATACAAAAGCAACTGCTTCGGGATAAAATTTATGGCACGATAAGAACACGTTAATCAGTTAGTGGGACATTTTGAATCTAATTTGTGTTCCTACAGGACCATTTGTGTTTCCAAGATCTGCGTCTTAAAACTGTGCAAAGCTTCAAAATCTCTGGTTTGTGCAGATTGTAAAGATGGTGATTTTTAGTTGCAGTACAGCGCTATGAAGTCACTTGGCCGACGGCCCGTTTCCATCATTCTCTCCAGGCTGAGAGCCAAAGGAAACCGTTAGGATTTGAGCAGCGGCTCCCAGACTGTCACCAAACTGAGCTGCCCCTTGCACTCACGCAGTTCCTGACCTCAACATGTATGCGCAAACACACGCACACACTCATGGCACAAACTCCATTTACAGTCAAAACATTGTATCTGAGCTTTCCCAGAGGCATTTCTCCAATCCAACAGCCATCCAGTCTTTAGGGGTCATTAAAGGGTTAGTTCACCCAAAAATGAAAATTAGGCCACAAATTACTCACCCTCAAGTCATCCTAGGTGTATATGACTTTCTTCTTTCAGACGAATCCAGTCGGAGTTATATTAAAAATTGTCTTTGATCTTTCAAGCTGTTTAATGCCACTCAGCGGGTGTTGCATGCATCAGTCCAAAATAAGTTAAATAAAAAGCACCCATCCATTAAAAAAAACAATCAAAAAAGAAAAGAAAGAAAACGGAGTGGGAGTTTACTTTTATTGTAAAAAGTGAACTCTATGACAAAAGGTTGAAAAATAAGAAGGATTGATCACCTGAAAAGTGAGTCATTTTTACAAGTATTGTACTTATTTGGAATAATGTGCAATGATGATTCATTTACAATAAACCTATGAATTATGTTTATATTGACTTCAAATGCACTGAATCAACTGTACTGAATCAAATGACTCAGTGACTATGACCACATGCATTCAAATTCAAAAGAGGACAATGAGTCATGAATTGCCATGTGAGAGATATACAAAAGCTTGATGGCAATAACACTAAACACATAGTTCAATAGTTTATTGAGAGCTTAATGATTTAAGGTTTGGATAGAAGTGGCATCTGTGCTAATGACTGTTAAGACCGATCAAGCCGCATGTCTTCATTGTATGATCAAACTGGCAGATCAACGCTTCAGGGTGTTTGTCTGTTGAACCACATTAAACAGCTGAAAACAAGCCGCAACTCAAACGGTCTTAGGTCTGGCATGATGTGTGAATGTCAGAATGTCAAGCCAACAAAAGAACTATGAATCAACTAATAAGACATGAGAGAGTTTGAACACTCAGAAAGAACAGCTGACTGCAAACGCCACAGACATGGCCATCACGTCTTACAGGAACAGACGCTTTCTATGAACAGAAACTACACCTTATAGCTTGGAAAATCACTGTTAAAACAAGTTAGCAATACTTTTTGAAAATCAATTATAATAAGTACAGAGTAATGTTTGGGTATATAGGAAAGATCATAAATGAGATCACAGTTGCGATCTGTTCTGAAACTCTAGAGGGCCATGTGAGACTGCTGTCTAGGAGAAATAACGGAGATATTATAAATGTCTCAAACTGCGATTGATGGCAAGGTCTGCAGGAAGATGTCAGAGATCTCAACATCTCAAATACTTCAAATCACAAACTTCTGACAAGTGATGCTGCCCACATTCATCTTATAGCACTATACTCTTACAACAAATCGCTCATTTTATAAGGCTTTAAGAAGAAACTTAGAAATTTATAAAAAAAATGCTTTTTATTCTATTAAGATGTTATATATATAGTATTTAAACCGATTTTCAATCGGCTCGGGGTTAATCGTTACATCCCTAATATACACACATACATACATACATGTGTACACACATATATATATATATATATTACGTATTATACATATAGTTAGTACATATAGTTACATATATACATCTCATCCCCCACTCCCTTCTTCTCCCTCTCTGTCTCTCTCTCTCTCACACACACACACACACACACACATATGCAAACAGTTTCTTTTGCTCTTTCGTTGCGCCTGCTACCCCATCCCAACCTATTGACTCTTTCTCTGCACACGGGTCATTCCTGCTATGAAGTACCTTTTAATAGTCCAAAGTGTCTTCATATTGGACAAAATATTATATTCATAATTTTTACACATGCAAATCATATTATTTGGTTCACGTTTAAGTGCTAAATACTTAATTTTTGTGATTTTTGTTTTTCATTTATTTGAAATAGAAATCTTTTTTAACATTATAAATGTCTTTACCAACACTTTTGATCAATTTAATGCATTCTTGATGAATAAGATCAGAATAGAAAAAAAATAAACATTTAACAGACCCCAAACTTTTGAACGGTAGTGCATTTCTGTTCTTTATTGTAGCACTGGCTCCACATATCCAAAGATATTACTTCTGGATATTCAGATGTTTATAATAATTCTCAGATCTTTTCATAACTAGATGAAAGGGAGGACACATCTGTTATTGGTTATACATGGGCCCGACACCATGAGGACCCGACCAAAATGCTGCGGAGTAACAGGACGTTATGTTATGTTTTTCAGGGAAATATCGCCCCCATTTGGAGCTCGGTGCTCAAAATTGTAAATACTGATGAATGTTAGGATCTCACTGACAGAGATAATGACAAAAAAGCATGAAGCTATTTTGGTTAAAAAAGGTTTGAAATCACAAGCGTCCTGTTGGGTTTGCCAAGCATCAACTTAATAACTTTTTAAACAAACGTGTAATGTGATTCCGAAAAAAAGTAAGCCCTAACAGTCAAAATCATCTATCAACATAAAACAAAGAAGTGACAAAAACAGTAAAAAAACGACTGTATTTTTGCTACCTAACTATCACGGGATGTCATTAATGTCACAACATACGCCCACAGCATATTTCATAAGTCAAGTGTAGTAAATTAAATATAAAGTCTATAAACACTATATGTTTAGTACTAACCACTGGTGCATCTTTTTTGTCCATGATATCAGGAAACATTGTCTTCTGATAGTCCATCTGATCCTCCAAACATGCATCTGACTCTGCGACAGAACATATAGCATTTAAAATTCATAAAATCAGTCAGATATGAATGATCAAAAAGGTAAAAGAACAAACAGTACAAATTTGCTCATGAAAATAAAGAAAAAATATAATATTTTTAATAACATTATTTGTAGTTCACTCAAGAATGGAATATACGAGTCATGATAAATGAACTAAAAACATGTCCTGCACTGCAAAAGCATCAACCATACAGGCATATTTCTGGAAATGGTAAATCTGGCTATTTTAGTTCAGTTGCGTAACTCAGCAAAGACAACAATACTCTTTAAAAACATGGGTGTACCAATGTACTTTTTCGGTCACTGTGAGAACGGAGAAAGTTCAGTTCAGGAAATGGACGCTGACCTCGTCTTGTAACTTCACTTCCTTGGACATCCCATAATGACATCACCTGTCGCTAAGCTACATTTTGTTATGTACATAAATCACGATGAAATGCACCCTGTTCGCTCAGGCGTGTGCGTGTCGGAGACGCACAGGCTACTTACAATTATTCTGTTGGATCAGAAAGGTATAATTACTTAATTTTGGTTTATCATGGAAGGCTGGGTGCTCTTGAAGAGACTTAGAAAGCCTGTTATGCAATCACACTGTATTATTTGATCAGTGATGAAATTAAACGGGAATCTTGGTTATGGATTTTTTAAGTTTTCACCTTAATTCAGACTAACTTTGAACCAGTAAAATGGTTGGAGCAACAATGAATATATGCATATAATACCATATTTTCAGGAATATAAATCATGGTTTTAATATAATCTGAAATGTGCTGCGACTTATATTCCAAAGCGACCTATGCAATTTACATCAAGCATACAAAACATGCACAAAATGCACATATTTTAGATTTGTGTCTGATGAGAGAGGTACATGAGCCCAAGTTTATTTATTTATCACTTTATCACTTTAAATAAATTTGCATAGCCTTGGCATTTGTAATAAATGTTTATAAGGAATACCACTATAATGTATAATTGTCTATTTATTTTCCATTCCTGTTCTGTTCTGAATACTATTAAATTAAATACTATTAAAGGTTTTGTTGTGGAGTGACTGGAATTAAACAAAACATGCACAGCACATATTTATTTTAGATGTCTGATGAGAGAGGTACATGAGCCCAAGTTTATTTATTTATCACTTTATCACTTTAAATACATTTGCATAGCCTTGGCATTTGTAATAAATGTTTATAAGGAATACCACTATAATGTATAATTGTCTATTTATTTTCCATTCCTGTTCTGTTCTGAATACTATTAAATTAAATACTATTAAAGGTTTTGTTGTGGAGTGACTGGAATTAAAATACATATCTATAGTGTTTACAATGTTTGTAAATGTTTCATTTTATTTACTGGCATTTCACATTATTGCTGAATAAAATAATAAAATGTGACTTATACATCTTTTTTCTCTTAAAGTGCCCCTATTATGCCATTTTGAATATTGCCTTTCGTGCAGTGTGTAATGTAGCTGTGTGTGAATGTAAACTATCTGCAAAGTTGTAAAGCCAAAAATGCACGATAAATAAAGTTATTGTCTCCCAAAAGAAAGAATCAACTCTGAACAGCCTAAACGAGTCATCAATAATTCAAATCCCACTTCCGTGACGGCTATATGTCACGGGGTAACACATTTGCATAATGCCCGCCTATGCTCAACGTTGGCCGGCCGCAAACAACTTGACCCGACCTCAAACCCTGTAGCTTGTTCATATGGTTAACATCATGTTGAGAAGACGCCGTGTCCTACGCTGTGAAAGTAAATTTGTTTCATTTTCATTTCAGAAAGATGAGGCTGCAAAGAATCGTTAAAGAGAGGTTAAAATTCATTTTTTCCACTGTACCACAGCAGTACAACCAAATCTTTTTTTGTGTTCCCGTAATTTTACTGATGACTGCTTCTCTAATCTCGTGAAGTTCAGCGCGGGATTCACAAAACGCTTGCTCTTGAAAGATGAGCTCAGTACCCAGTTTATATGGACCATCTGACTCCACTGAATCACAACCTGTATGTATGGTAAATAATAGATGTTTATATTTTCTATAATATTGAGCGTTCAAAATACGGAACTATGGCAATGGGCGTAGTTCTCTGAAGCCCCTCCCTCAGAATTACGCAATGGGCTCTGATTGGTTAGCGGGCTCAGTGTGTTTGTGATTCTATAACCGCCTAGTGCAGGTTGTCCGGAAACATCACGCCCCCTTACCATTGCGGGGTTTATGTAAACATCGGGGTTAGTGATGTCACAAACCCAGGAAGAAGCTCGTTGTAGTCCCTACCAGCCGTTTTTTGTAGTCCTTAAACAGCAATTTTTGCATTTGAACCCTTTGCATTGAACTCTGAGCATGCACATTTTGTGAAAACTAAAGCGTTTTTTGACCTTGCATGCATGTAAAACTATTGCTGGAGACCCCCAAAATAATATTAGATACTTAAAAATGGCATAATAGGGGCATGTTAAAAATGCAATTTTAACCCAGTGTGACTTATAATCAGGTGCAACTTTTTTCCAGAAAACATGGAACATAATAAATATTTTACATTTATATTGTTCAGCTCACCGTTCAGTAGGTCTTCACCCATTGGTCGCACAGCTTCTGTTTCTTGAGACACTGGATCTAAGTTCGCTTGGGCTTGTTCAGGACATACAGAAGGAACTATAATGCCATCCTCATCAAGAGCATTTGGGACATGTAAGGCACCATCTACATGGTCACTGTGGACCGAAACACCAAACAGATCTTCTGCATTGACTGCCAGGCTTTCCTCAGAGATCCCAAACTCATTTGACTTAGCTAGTATGTCTGAGGGATCCACCAAGACACGTTGATCTCCAGATTCATCGGTGTTTACAAAAACTACACCTGCATCCTCTTCTAAAAGGTCTATTTCTGCTGTGCCCTGCATGACCCCATTGTTTGAGGTTATATCCTGTCTGGGATCCTGGGAAGAGTCACCTTGGAGATTCACTTTCTTCATATCTGCAGAAATCGCTGACTCAAGAACATCCTTCGCTGACGCCTGAGCTTCACAAACGGGTTCGTCCTCCTGGTTCCCTTGAACGTTCTCCGTACCCTCACAGCCAGAACCTAAAAGAACCTCTAGATCTTCAGGTTCTAAGATGTCCTCACTAGTTGCTATGGAAGATCCGGGTTCTGGACCAAGCTCAGTTTGTAAGACGCCTGAAGAACTTACTTTCTGTCCGTCAAACTCACTTCCTTCAAACACTACGTCTTCAATTGAAAGAATTGGTTGTTCTACAGGCAACAGCTCTTGAATTACTTCACTCAGGTGTAAAACGCTCTCATCTTCAGCAACTGAAATCCTTGAGGTTGTATCTCTAAGTTCTTCATTCTGTTGGTCTCCATCTGTTTCCATGTATTGCATTTCTAGACTCTCCTGAAACTCCTCATCGGCTTCTTCTTGATCAAAGATTACTGAAGAATCAAGATCTCGACTACCTTCCACATTACACGTGATCTTCTCACAAATGTCTCCCACTAGTTTATGGGTTCCTGGGTCACCAGTTTTATCACAAATGCCTCGACAAGCATGCATTTCATTTTCCACTAAATTTTGGTGTGAGCTATCTAGAGGTGTATCTCCATCAGGATTTACGTCTGGTGGTTCCTTGCTTTCTTCTCGCACCTCCTCAGATTCGATGAGATCTCCGCACCCATCCTCTTCCTCAGCATCGGTCTCAGTGCCTTGAGAAGATTCAACATCCGAGCTTTCTGGCGTGTCCAAAGACTGAGTGATTCCCATATCTCCTGCCTCAACGGTGGGGCTACATTCAGCTAGCTCTTTCTCCTCTGATACTTTCTCCTCTACAGAGTTGTGTCCTTTTTCCTGATTTTGCCCCTCAGCAAAACCTGGTGCTTCACAGATTAAGTCATCTGCTTTATCAGCTTCCTCTTTCTGTTGTTCGCAGGAAGAGGTTCTGTTGACTATGCTCTCAGAACCACTCTGCAAACCATCACTACTATCTCCAACGTCACCGGTACTAACTACACCAGTAGTTGAACGCTCCTCTTGCTCTCTGCAATCAGTCTCACTGTTTTCACAAGCACACGCCCGCTGATCTTCGCTATTGCCATTATCTAGGAGAGCCGGGGCACTTTCACAGCTGAGCGAGGGACCTCCGTTACCCTCCCTGTTTTGCGAGGGATCCAGACGGTCATTACGTCCTTTGTTTTCTTCTGTGCTAAAAGGAGTGAACTCTCGTTCTCTCGTATCAAGGGAGTCGTGAGGTGCCTCTTCACAACAGCAATCTCTGGTCTCCAGGCCGTCATCACATTCTTGGGCAATATGCGGAGAGTCTGAGCTCTGCTGAAAGGCAACTCCTCCCTGAACATGAACACAGAACAACAGCTTAGGGTTTTCTCTCCTTCAAGCAATTCTCTAATTCTACAGTTATGCCACTGCAATGAATAGCAGATCTACAGCTGTTGGAGAAAAGTTATGGTGGAGGTTGAAATCTGAGGGATATTTCTTGGCAAACAAATTCCCTTCTGTTGACTGCATAATAGTATGCATTCATGTAGCAGACATTTATGATATCCAAAGCGACTTGCAAAAAAGACAACACAGTGATTCATCCTAAAGAGGCAGTAACATGAGAAGTACAACGTTTCAAGTTGTACAGAGGAATTATAGAGGATAAATAGCTATATTATTATGTTTAATAAATATCTTATTGTGTTAAATATCATATAAAATAATTGTTATTATAATATGCTATAGTATCACATACACTACAGTTCAAAACTCAGTAGGATATTTTAAAGAAACTAATACTTTTATTCAGGAAGGCCACATCAAATTGATCAATAATTGACAGTAAAGACATTTATAATGTTACAAGAGTATGAATTTCTGTAATCATCAAAGAATAATGACAAAAAATCATTATGGATTCTACTAAAATATTAAGCAGAAAATATTATATTATTTAAAATTTTAAAGCAGAATTAATAAGAAATGTTTCTTAAGTGGCAAATCAAGATATTAGAATGATTTCTAAAGGATCGTGTGACACTGAAGACTGGCTGCTGAATAAACTGGAAAATAAAAACATTACTTCTCATCACAATTGCAGCCTATTTGCATGTTGAAAATTGGCTCGTCGTCACCATTATATTTTTATCTTTTTTAAAACCAATAAAACCACTGAATTCTACCTAAATGTCACATTTATTGAAATGAGATGTATAATGCATATTAATATTTTTTTTGTTGTTGTTGTTTTATTTCCTTTAAAATATATGAATGTTGAAAAGAAATAACCTTCCTGTTCAGTCATCTCATGCCGTGACATTTCCAGTAAATACTGTCATATTTGTGTACACCCCTAATATATATATATATATATATTATCTTTTAAGATTTGACCTTTTTGATATCACTTTAAAGAAAGTGATTCAACCACATGGTTAAAACTAAAGTTACAGTTTGTCTTTGTCAATATATTATTATCATTATTCGTCATGTTTACACATGCTGTCCTTGTCGTGCTGAATAACTCAACTCTGGAGAAGTTCATCACACTCAAAAAGAAAGAAAAAAACAAACAGACAGAAAGCAAGAGAGAGAAACAGACCGAGTTGAACATCTAGAAAAGGAAGTTTTGCCGACACATCTAAGCAAACTGACCTGACTCACCTTCCCTTGACAATGGCAAAGCATCAGTCTGCGCAGTTCCAGGATGTCGGCCTGTAGGTTGGGTGGTGCGCCGCCCGGCTCGGTGCCCAAAGACAGGGTGTAGGTGTTCAGAGAGGGGTGGTGCTGTACCACACGACTGCTCGAGGAGGAGACCTGTCTGAGCGTCTCAACGCCAATGTCTGTATCCAAATCCTCCCTAAATCAAAACAAGTCATCAGATGAACAGGATATGCTCAAACTGTTCCATTTTAACTTTAAACAAAATAACACCCTGCTGTCATCAAGACACTCAATATAATTACAGTTCTTATGGATGTACTGCTTTGATTTATTTGTTGAAGAGGCAGTGGGGAATGATCGAAATATACAAATGGAGTTATTATGCAACTGAATGCATATTTTCTATTCTTTCGCCAACTCGAGAGCATTAATAATAAGAGGTAATGGTTCAAATCTGGGCCTAGAGCGTTGACTAATGCGGGGTGGAGTGATTTTTGCCACATGAAAGCAACTGTCACTGCTGTCTGAAGCAGCATGCAGCAGATGAAAGAACAATACGCAATTAGATCACTTTAATGTCTAAGCAACGAGATTAAATGGAGAGCTAATGGAAACTTCCTATTTCTCAGATGTTTCTTGTGTGGGGAAAAAAGCACCAATAATGTATCTCAATTAGATTTTAAGATGATTTTAGAAGTTTGCGTATTTTTATTCATTTTTATTTCAGCTTTAATTATCTGAGTACTATAAGTTAAACTAAACGAAAATGAAAAATGTTGTCCAAGCAACTAGCTAAAATAAAATAATAATAATGTTTTTTTTTTTTTATGGTTTTGGTTTTAGTTAACAACATAGAGGTTTAAAATAGTTAGTGAACTTAAAGGGATAGTTCACCCAAAAATGAAAATTAGCCCATTATATACTCGCCCTCAAGCCATCCTAGGCATATATGACTTTCTTCTTTCAGATGAATCCAATCAGAGTTATATAAAAAATTGTCTTTGATCTTTCAAGCTGTTTAATGGCAGTCAGCGGCGGGTATTGCAGTTCATCAGTAATTCAGGCAGTCATCCGCCCAGAGCTGCTTCCGTGTACAACAGTGAGCGCAAGCTAGATTAAAGTGATTATTACGTTTTAAATATGGTTATTTTTCTTACAAAAACGCATCGATTCGCTACAGGAGGCCTTTGTTCACCCCCCGGAGCCGTGTGAGGCACTTTTTATTATGGATGCATGCGCTTTATTTCACTTCTTTTGGACTGATGCACTGCAACACCCGCTGACTGCCATTAAACAGCTTGAAAGATCAAAGACAATTTTTTATATAACTCCGAATGGATTCGTCTGAAAGAAGAAAGTCATACACAGCTAGGATGCCTATAGGGTGAGTAATTCATGGGCTAATTTTCATTTTTGGGTGAACTAACCCTTTAAAAACTGTAAGCATCGGACATCTTTATTGCGAACTAACCATTATAACTGAAGTAGCAGGAACAAAACCATGTTAAAGGAACACTCCACTATTTTTGAAAATAGGCTCATTTTCCAACTCCCTTAGAGTTAAACAGTTGAGTTTTACCGTTTTCGAATCCATTCAGCCGATCTCCGGGTCTAGGAAAACTTTTCATTTTCCGTCGGTCTTAGTACACGATGTAACTACAGAAGAGTCAAGTTTTAAATAGGAAAAATATAGAAACTCTTTGGTCATTTTTGAGCGAGATGCTAACGGTCTAATCAGATTTCATGATCTATGCTAAGCTACAGCTAAAAGTGCTACCGCCAGACCCAGACATCGGCTGAATGGATTCGAAAATGGTAAAACTCAACCGTTTAACTCTAGGGGAGTTGGAAAATGAGCCTATTTTCAAAAATAGTGGAGTGTTCCTTTAAGCTTCGTAAACTGTTCACTTATAATACAAAAACTCGTGTTTTTGACTATTTAACCCAGTGCAAGGATAATTATTTATATTTGACAGTAGACTGGTGCCCACAGAGTGACAATTCACTCCTGCTTCTCCAGCATGACAGATTTATGTTGTGTTCATTTAAATAAGATGCTGTGTATGTACAGTAAGCACATCACTCACAGGCTGAAGAGCTCCAGCAGTGCTGTATATCCTCGACTCTGGGCGATGATCACCGGTGTGGCGCCCCGTTTGTTACACAGGTTGAGGGCCTCTCGGGCCCCTGGCTGCTTGAGGAGAAAACTGGCCACTCTGAGGAGCCCGCGGCGGGCTGCAAAGTGAAGGAGGGTCTCTTGAGGTTCCAGTCCTGAAAGAGAGAAATAAGAATATTCAGAGAGAAAAACAGAGGGATGTAAACCAATGTCTGTCTGACCTAGTCTTCTGCCCTAATTTACAAGTACTAGCATTCTATTTAATTGCAAATTAAATTTCTGCTATGACATAAATCATACAATGTATGTTTATCATTCCAAAGTTATAAGTTTTTTAATGCATTTATCCTCCTATCAGCTGCATTTATTTGATCAAAAATACAGTAAAAACAGGAATATCATGAAATATTATTGCAATTTAAAAATGACTTTGTTGATATATTTTAGACAGATGTACTGCTTAATATTTTTGTGGAAACTGATTCTTTGATGAACAGAAAGTTATTTTGTAACATTATAAATGTCTTTACTGTCATTATTGATCAATTTAATGCATCCTTCATAAAAGTATTAAATTTTTTTTTTTTTAATTTTTTAAATCCTTACCCAACAGTTTTAAATGGTAGTGTGTATACAGTATGTTTCTATGTGTCCTTGTATTTGAACAAGAATGTTCTTGCATTGCATAAAATATCAAGGCATGTGATATTTGTTTTAAAGAAAAAGAGCACAAGCACAATGCTCAAGCATAATAATCCACCACACAAGTTTGTTAGGACAAGGACAAAGTACTGTGATTCAGCAGAGAAGAACCAGGCCAAAAATAATGTCAATTAATTAAACAGATTTGCCACCTGTAATTAACATCACACTGTAACTGACCTGTCAACTGTCATGTGACCATTATAAACTCAAAGGAACTGTTCTGATTACTTGGAACTTGATCTGGAATGTCATTTAGGGACGTTTATTTGGTTGCAGATATGTGCTGTGGAATATCATCCAGTACACTCTCTTCTAAATTTGTTATGATATCCAAAAAAAGAATGAAAACAAATGTAAAAAATTGAGACATAAGTCGCAGGCCAAGGATAACTTGAGAGATTTCCACAAAAGTATTATTAGCCCTCTAAAATTTAGCAGTTTATATTTGTATTTTATAATAGATAACATATTAAATTAAATGTGGCTGTAAATTATTATTATTTTTTTAATCTTATAGAATTAGAAATCAATCAATGAAGTATGAGCCTGATGATCTACACTAATGCTATAACGCCCCCTAAAGGATCAACCACATCTTAACTTCTGTTGAGACAATCCTCCAGTCTGATCATAAATATATGATAAAGTCCTATTGGACAATGTAAACAGATCTGAAACATCTCAACCATTATGCCAAACAGACAACTTTAAAATAAAACATTAAAGTAGATGTACTCAACTTCTGAAATCAAATGGACCACATTCAAAACCGCAACAGATGCAAAGAGCTGCAATTTTTCCATTTTATATGAAATAAACAGCCATCAGACCTCCAAAATGCACTTTTCTTTGTCATGATCAGTTAAGCTACAAAATTATGCTGGTTTACGTTCTTGAGATAAATAGTTACAACTAATTAAATTGAAAGTGAGAACATTATTAAAACATGACTACTTATCTTAGTTTAGTCTAAAACCCTCTCTGTAAAAACCTTTGACTCTAATTAAACAAAATGAAACAAGAATTTTCAACCTGGCTTTATCCAATGTTCAGATTTCTGTAATAGAAATGTATGTAAATTAGTGCATATTTAATTAGACAATGCCTCATTTCCATATTTAAACAGAAAACCTTTCAGTTTTAATAGAAAATAGTTAACTGGGGAAGTATTCACCTGGGGTGTCTTGCCTTAAAGAACAAATACAGAAGGCAATTACAGGTGTAACGCACGATTACTTGAACCTACAACCTTTTGATTGCCAGCCCGGATCGAAGCACTAGCCACCACCAAGCTGCACTCACGTGTGTTATCCCTCAGCAGGTTCCAGCCAGGGGGCAGCGTGATATGTTTGAGGGCCAGGGACAGATTCTGGTCCAGCTTTTCGCACTCCTGCAGTGGGATCTGATGCTCGTCCAGTAGCAGAGCCTCTTCCAGTAGGTTTGTCTGCCCCACCGCGCTCACCAGGAACTGGGCCATGTCGAAGGCCAGGTCCTGTACGAAGTGCAGGCGCTCGGTAGCCAGAGTATGAATGTTACCGTCTGGTCCCGCTGAGCACAGGGTGACCAGCACCCACTCACAGCAGTTATGAGCTGTACAGAGAGCAAAAGTTAATGACAGCTTTTGTAATGCACATGACTTTGTAACCCATCAGCCACATGACAAAACTGTAAACTGGACAAATATGATGTAATTTCTATTTCCAGAAAAAAATATTTCTGCAATGTCCCAATAACATACTTAGAGTCATGCAAGAACAGGATACCAGTTTTAGAAATATTTAACCTCCATAATGATACATATTTCAGAGTGAAACCGAATCTTAATTAAGAAACAAATGAAGAGTTTGGTTCCAAAACGCGATAAACCCCATTGTTAACAAAAATTGATTTTCCGATTTTCCAGATTTTCAAAATCTGTACTGTATCTGGTCAGTATTGAAAAGTCAATTTTAAATTTTACACAAAATGCGATATCCGCCGAGTTATTCTGTCATGTTTTCTCCCTTTTTTTCCAAACCGCGACAAACGCCAGTCTCCCTTTTCTGCAGAATGCGATATATCCGCTCAACCAATCACAGCGCACCATTCCACGCACTCTAGAGTGGTTTAATGTGATATTGTTGTTCATGTATGTTCATGATGAAATTGTCTTTTATTGCTGTAATTAATTTGTAGCATTAACAAGATGACCCGTTGAATTCATTTTGGGAGCGATGACTGATTGAATGTATTTTTAGTCCAGTGCCTGCATATAAGATTAGTATTGACCAGAGGCTGTCATATGTGGATCAACTTACTATGTTGTGTTTTTTCAACAGTTTCAATATGAAAAATAACTTTTATATTGATTCAATGGATTTATTGCATTTTGGAAGAAAAAAAAAAACGTGTCAGGGATTTATTGCATTTTGGGGAAAAAATAATAAAATGTTATAATAAATCTTTGAAAATCAAAATCTAAATTTGAATTTTTAATGTTATTATAACCTAAAGATACTATGTAAAAGTTTGAAACAGAAAATAGTGGTTTTCATCTTGCCACTTTCTTGGTAAAGAAAACACATTTTTACTCAAATTAATCAAAATGGATTTATAGCGTTTTGGAACCAAACTCTTCATATATACAGTATATATACATATATATACATATATATATATATATGTATATATATAT